CAGCAGCATACGCTGCTGCTGGGTGTACTTCATGAAGTACATCAAACTCCGCATTTCCTCTTACCTGTCACTGCTCTGGTTTTGTTCCAGGTTGAATAGGGCTAGCCAGACCTACTTCTTCCCCGTGCACCTAACAGATCAGCTGCTTCCCAGTGCTGTATTCTATGCCACCGTGGGACCTCTAGTTATCTATTTTGCCATGCACAGGCTAATCATCAAACCCTACCTCAGGGCACAAAAGGAGAGGTGAGCTCGCAAGACTGTGTTTTAAATTCAGAGCTGGCAAGTCCCACTCAAGTGCTTCGGGGAGCCTGGTGCTCCCAGCTCGGGTATCCAGCTGCGGCGCTGCGGTTCACTACATACTCAGGACTACTGAGCTCTGGAAGACTACAAAAATGTCTTGGAAGGTGGGGAGGAACCTTAAAACTGAGCTCATTCGTGTGAGGTGGTGGGTCAGTTGTAACTGGGGTGGGTAGAGAGACCTCTGCCACGGTGTGGCCGAATCCCGTCTGCTGCACAGAGCTGACGTGATGTTGACTTCCTTCTGCCAGAGACCTGGAGAAGCAACGGGAGAGTACAGCCAGCGACATCCTTCAGAAGAAGCAGGAGGCTGAAGCTGCAGTAAGTTTTTCCCATAACTAATCCCCTGTAGTTAAAGGAAGCTGCTTTCACTCTGGGCTTTTCCCTTTTGGACACGGTGTCTGACACTGCTTGATTTTTGCTCTGCTCTGTGTGTTGTGACAGGTCCGGTTAATGCAGGAGTCTGTCCGGAGGATAATTGAAGCAGAGGAAGCCAGAATGGGTAAAAATTACAGCGCCATTTACTCGTTCCATAAATGTGGAGGGAGAAAGGAACAAAACAAAGGCTGAGTGGCTGAGGGGGAGAAATGCAAGACAGCATTTCTTCATTTCCACTCTGAGTGAAGCACAGCGTAATCGCTGTCGTGCATGTAGTAGCTCCTGAATCGTAACGGAAATTGCTAGAAATCAGATTTCCAAGAGAGTGTTCCAAAGTGACATCCACTTGGACTGTCATGTCAGTTTGACAGTGAAGTCGTGTCACGCTGTGCTAGTGCTGCAGATTGCTAACACATGCCCAAGTAAAAATGTTCTTCTGTTTTGAGAACCATGGGTCCAGGCAAGAAGAATTTAACTATCGCTGAAAGCAAGAGAGAATGCCAGGATGATCTTTTCATCAGTCTGTGTAGCTGCTGGTGGGAAGCCTCCCCTCACATCTGTGATTTCACGTGAAATGCAGGTTTGATTGTAGTGAACGCCTGGTATGGGAAGTTTGTTAATGACAACAGCAGGAAGAATGAGAAGGTGAAAGTAATAGACGTGACTGTGCCCCTGCAGTGCTTGGTGAAAGACTCTAAACTCATCCTTACAGAGGCATCCAAGGTACGTAGCTGTTGTGTCAAAGCCCAGACTCGGGGCTTCAGCGAGTGACTCCAAATTTCCATTGAGCCATGTGCTGTACTGCCAAGGGATTTCTCCACTCTACTTGAAGTTGGGGACTCTAGCTCAGTTTGCAGAAGCCATTTACATACCAAGTGTTGCAAACCTCCTGTTTTTCTGGGTGTTTCCAGTGCCAGAGAGACTGTGTGGGACAGTGCGTCTTAGAGACTCCAGGGCTTTACACCAGAAACTTCCCAACCCCCTGGTTTGCTCTTTTCTGCAGTTAGAACTTGCCACTGTGGAGGTGATGCCTGAGCCTCTCATCTCATCAGCAACAAAACTCCCTTTTTCTAAAGGGAGTGCCTCTTTCCGACCCTTAGAAATGTTTTTGCTCATTTAAAGAGCTGTAGAAGTCCATCTGGTGCTAATCAGTCTGTGTCCTCTGGTTCAAGGCTGGGCTGCCGGGTTTCTATGACCCCTGCGTGGGTGAGGAGAAGAGCCTGAAAGTGCTTTATCAGTTCCGAGGAGTTCTGCACCAAGTGATGTCGGCTGACAACGAGGCCCTTAGGATACCAAAGCAATGTAAGTGGCCACGGCTGCCTTGCTGCTTCCTTCGGGGACCGGTAAAGGATTGCTTTGGCTCTGTGTGGCGAGGCACGCAGAGCTGGGGTTACTGACATGGGCTGACCGTGACATGCCTCTGGAGCGTGACCTGAAAGAGCCCAGGGGCTCCGCTGCAGCTGTTCATACAGGCCACCCTCGAAATCTGACTGGAGTCAGAGGCCGCCTGCAGCTGCCGGTGTTGCACCGGGCAGCTCAGTGCCATGAACTGCCCTTTGAGGGCTGAATTGAATGTATTAAGTTGGAACCTCTTGTTTACTCTAGACCAGTTCCCTGACTTGTTTTAAGAATTCTTTCTAGTGGAATACTTTGTGGTCAGGTTTGTGTCACCTGTCCTGTCCACTCCTCCCCAGAGGTGTGAGCTTTTTACTTCCTTGAGACCCTTTTACCTCCCGGCACCCAATGTGGTATGGCAGATCCAGCAATCCAGCAGTGACCTTGGTCACTACAGGAGCACGTATCAGCCAGAGCCGTTCTGCATCCCCACGCCTGGCCGTGACTGCAAACATCAGGCGCTATCACTTCTAGTAGCGGGCACTGTCTGCACAAACACTCTTATCTTCAGAAAGTGCCGCCTCTTAGAAGAGACTGAGCTGAAAAGTAAAATCATTGAACAGAATTTTTAGCTCAGACCAAGATGCTTAAAACCTTCTGTAAGTAGGTTGGAGGTGTCTGAGTTGTGTTTAATTAGCAGCCAGAAATGTCCCCATCTGTCCCTGGTAGGGTGCAGAGCTCCAGCTAGGATGTGTCTCATCCGGCAGAAGTGGTGTGTCTCCATTCCTTGTTCTCCCCTGACAGCTCACAGAATCGATGCGGATGGCTAATCTGGTGAGAGTGTGCGCGTCCACCGTCGTACCTGGGTCAATGGAAACTACAAAACCTTCCCCTGGATGCTTCAAACTTTTCAAACTCGTGTTTGAACAGAGACATTTTTACTTTTACTATCTGCATAGCAGGTGGTGTCCTACCAGTTATGTTAGGAGACAAAATGAGAGAACCTGCTTCTGCAGGTGGCTCCAAGGCAATACTTCTCTGAATTGTGTCTCAGTAACCAATAAAGCAACGTGACTCAACGCGCAGTGCTTTCTGCTGAGGTTGTGCGAGTGGGCGCTGAGCACCACCCGTCGTGGAGCCGAGTCTTTCTGCTGTCGTTTGGCCGCAGTCCGTTTGTGCGCTCTCCCGTGCATCGTTTTGCACTGAGCAGGGAAGAAGACCTGATGTCCTCACTTCACAACTCCTCTGGGACTTGTTTATCACTGTGTAATACAAAACTACAAGTAGAAGCTATAACCAGCCAGAGCTTAGCTTCTAATAGGATCCAGAGCTATTTCCAAAGGATCGAGCCATCCTTTTAAGTTTGCGGGGGGGCCAAGGCTGGCTCTGGACACAGCTGGCTGAGCAGCAGTGCCTCTAGGGGGGTGGCACGAAGAGGAGCCGAGGGCAGCTCATCCCTGTGGTGGTCTGGGGTCCTCTGTGCTAGCCTGCGGCGGGGCACGGCTGGGAGGAAGGTGCTCTCCTCCAGAACAGCTCCCAGAGGGTTTAAAGGGGGTTTCGCAAAGGGCCAGGTCTGTTTCGGAGGCTGCAGCCCCTGGTCCTGCAGAGACCTGGCTCTCGGGCAGGTGGGACAGGCCTGGCGTCACCTTGGCGCTGCCCCGTGCCTGGCTTCCCCACCCCAAGTCTGCCTTTGCATGCTCTCCCAGCACATCCCTGTCAGGCCTGGGCGTTCACACCATGGGCATCTTGACCCAAGCCCACTCACGCCAGCCTTCACGCCCCGGCTGGTGAGCCCAGCGCAGCGCCCAGCTGCCCCCTGCCCCTCTGGCAGCCAGGGCTCCTCCACAGCACACCTCACCTGCTACAAGGAGAAGTGGGGAATCCCGTCACCACCTGAAAGACACGTTTGCAACGCTTGCCCTCCACGCCTGGCTTTGTGTATTGTTTAGGGAAGGGTGCTGGCAGCATCAAGCCTTGCTGCCACCTGGCACAACTGCATTACACACCAGTAAAGCACAAGCAGACTTCTGAGTTCAGAACAAAATCGTTCACTTGTTTCACATTTAAGAAAAATTCATGGTTCATTAAAACAGTTTTAATGAAAAAATAAAGTTCTGACTTAAACTATAATTATACATGGTTGAAAGTGATGAACTAAAAGTATCAAGATGTTACTTTTTTTTTCTCTCTGCTGATACTGTAACGTGCTGGACGTGTCACACACCATCTATTGGGATAAATCTGAGAAGGTAAAGAACAAGAGTCTGTCACATTGATTAGTATCGAACTGCTGTGAAAAAGAGCCAGTTCGCCATTTCCTCCATAAAAGCCTCAGGAACATGTTCCACGGAGGTCCAGGTGAATTGCAGACATGCTGTAAACACAGAGGTACCACTTTCCAGAGCAGGTCCAAACCTTACGCAGCTCGCGACCGGGATCTTTCAAAGCCTTTCTGTTTGCAGAGTGAAATGGCAGCATTTGAGAACTTTGGTTATTTTTCTGGCTGCAGAGAACAGCCAGGCAGCCGTCAGGGGCAAGTCTTTGGTGAACTCCTCAGTGGTTCCACGTAGCTCCTAGAAGGCAGCACACCACAGTCACGGTCCTAAGATTTTCCTGAAGCTGGAGCTGGCTTTCAGAGCCCAGAGTCAGTTGTTGCAGCTTTGTGGAACAGGATTATTATAAAGACGCAGGACGGAAGAACAGCTGCACATGGTGCAGCCCTGTCATCCTTTCACCCCCAGCGTCCCACGGTGCGCAGCCCCGGGCACCGCAGCACCGGGCTGAGCCCGAAGCCTTGGCAGCATCAGCCTGAAGGAGAGTACCTGACCAGGTACAGTCATCACCGGCTGCGTCTCCTGACAAGCCAACGCTCCGGTGAGGCGGTGGTCTCACGCGGTGTGTCTGCAGCACCAATACAGACACGGTCCTGCCAGCACGACTGGTCTCGCCTCGGCCACAGGACCGGCCAGCGCCTCCCCTTGCCTCACAGTCCCACCAGATGGAGCACGCGTTCATCATCAGGTGTAATCCAGAGAAGTACCTCAAAAACTGAATCTGAGATACGTATGGCTCGCTCTGTTGGGTCACTGAGGAACACTGCTGCCACCTCGGCGGCTTCACACATGAGCCTCGATTCCCTGCCATGTTTCTGAACAGATTTCCCTTGAGCTGAGGCCCCAGGAAGTCCCGTGGAGGGACCGCCGTGTTGATGGGGGCCTCAGTGCTTTGCCATCCTCCTGGCACAGGCCGGATCTTCATTGCACTTCATCTTGCCAGCTGCATAGCCTGCACTTGCTTTTATCTGTATAATTTGCAACGAATAGGTTAAAGATTCTGGGTTTTTTCGTTTAAAAATCCAGTCTTAAAAAACAAACAACAAAACCAAAAGTCAACTCAGCTGTAGCTCTCAGATGGAAATGATCAAATCCCAAACCAGACCTGCCAGCTTCTAAGTTTACTATGGCCCCTTCTATAGTCCAGGTTTGAATTCTGGGCTCAGAAAAGGGAGAGTCATTGTCTTCTTAGAACAGCACCTTAGAGCTTAACAAAGGGCCAGGAAGCGGAGCAAACAGTGTCCCCCCATATACACATTTGAGCCGATCATGCAAAACAAAGTCACGAAAAGTCACCGTTAAGAAGAGGCCTTCTAGGAAGAAATCCGATGTCGCTAATCTCCAGCACTGCCTGTCCAGAGAAAGGGCTGTTCTCTTCCTTTAAACGTGCCGGTCCCTTGGCACAGGAGGAGTCCTGTTTTCGCTTCAAGGACGCCAAATCGCGCAACTCCCCCACGGCCCGGGCCCGCTGGAGAGGAGGCAGATCACACAGAGGTCGGTACGCATTGGCACTCACTCCTACAGTGCCTTAGGATATCTAAGATTGATATATACGGACAAATGGGCAGGTATAATATTACATTAAAATTAAAACACATGGCCATTTACTTTTCAGACTCTTCACACAGATTCCCTCCTCCTCCTCCCTCTTTGGAGGAGCGGGAGTTTTCTAGCACAGAGAAGGTTTGCAGTTTCCCAAGGACGGGATGAGAAAACGTATGTGGCAAAGGTATTATACATTCCCCAGACATCACCCAATTCATAGCTGTAACCAGACGAAACCCCACCAGACCCGGAGAGCTCAGTCTGTCCCTCCAGGGAACCGGGACGTAGCAGCAGTTCTGACCAGTCGGCCTCTTCCAGCCTCGGCTGTCCACGACCCGGCGATTCCTCGTCCCTGTACCGCAGGCGGGCCGGGCAGCCCTTCAGCCTGAGCAGCAGCAGTTCAGGGGAGCTCTCCCGGCCTCTGGCCGGTGTCGCAGCTCGCCCGCCTGCCCAAGCAGAGCAGCAGCACACGCCTCCCACCCCTAGTCCAGAAAGCGCCTGCGCGAACCCGTCCGGGAGCGGTTCGAACGGCGAATGTCAAACTTGGAGTCCCGGCACTTCTGGCATATGTAGACCTCTGGGACATTGGACTTGCGGATTTTGGCACAGGAGAGGTGGATCCAGGTGTGGCACTCGTTGCACTCGATCATGGGCCGCCCAGCAAAAGGCTTCATGCAGAAGCAAGTGACGAGGTCCCACGAGTCGTCATCTGCAAAGAGAAACAGTGAGCTACGTTTGTAACAGCCTCTCCCTACAGTGGGAAGTTACTCTCCTTTTGCACGAAATTAACTACCTGGGCTTCAAAACCAGGCACTTGTCTGATCTCTCCAGGCCTCTCTTGCGCAGGAAGAGATTCTCAGAGGTACAAGAGATGCCGTAATCCAGGAGAGGAGAACCAGCTGCTTCTATACGGTCACAGCTTTCCACTCAGTTTATCGCAAAAGCAGCCAACCAATTCACCTCTTCCCCCCGAAAACCCCGCCTTAATCCTGCCCAGGCAGCGCACCCTGGCGTTAACCTCACGCCAAAGAGATTGGCATGGGCACCGCTGCTCCCACCTGGTGAAGGCTCCTCAGACAGCCAGGCCACCTACCCGAATCCACCATGATGTCCTCGTCGTCACCGGTGCCATCCTCATCCCGAAAGACCACCTGCTTGCCCTGCCGAATGACCGTTCGTTTGCCGACGCTCTGGATCTCCACCGTCTGCTCGGCCGTCACGGTGGGGTAGGAGACGCCAGTCGGCGTGTCAGAGTCCCAGGCCGAGCTGTGCTCGGTCACAGACTGAGGCTCCCCCTCAGACGAGGGGCTCAGTGGTGTCTCTGCGTAAGAGTCCTCTGCTTCCAGCCCCAGCAGCTTCTCCTCGTAGTCCTCCTCTGCAGACACCTCCGTTTCCCTCCTCTTCAGCTTTTTCTTCTTCCTGATTTTATCGATTTGCTTTCGCTCTGGCAGGAAGTTGCCAGGTTTTGCCCGCTGGTACAGAGAACCGTATGGCTTCGCTCGCTTCAGCTGACTGAAGCTCTTTCTGTTCTTGGCGGGCAGGGACACGGAAGAGGGGACGTCATTGAAGCGGGGATCCCAACTATCGCTGTCGATGGTGCCCCCGGTGCTGTTGGGAGGGCTCGGGCTGTTCCTCAGCGGTGTCTCCTGGAGAACGGAGAGGGAGCA